CCCCGCCCCCCCCCCACGTTTGTGGTGCTGAGCAGCCAGTGCCCCTCCCTCCCAAGCCACAGCCCCCCTGGCTCTGCCAGTGCCCCTCACTCCTGCCCCCCAGGCCCCCATCCCTGCTGATGCCCCTTACTCCCAACCCACAGCCCCCATCCCCACTGGAGCCCCTCGCTCCTGACCCACAGCCCCCAACCCCTCCAGCCAGAGCCCTGCTAATCACAGCTCCCAGCTCACAGGTGCAGGCCCTACCTCTGACCTCAATTGGCAATGACCCTGAACTCAGTTATCTAGATGCCAGAATCAGTGCCTCAGCCCTCTAATTGCTTGGACACATCAAGCCCTTCCAGTGACCAGGTAGTTGTGGGAGCTCCTTAAACTCTTCATGGACCATGTAACCAATGAAGCAAGGAAACACAGGATGAGAAAAGAAATTTCATAACTGAACACAAACACCTTTCTCTTAAAAAAGGAAGTTAGAAAAATATCAATGGAAAATAGCAAACTCCTGAACTCCTTAAAGAAAGCAGAGTCCTCCCTGTCCCTACTTCAGTATAGAGAAGTATCCCTGTTTCTCTCTGGACAGGTGAACAAACAGCTCAGCTGAAGTATTACAGGTGTAAGGGAAACTTACAGTCCTATAGTGACTCCTAGACAGGTTTCTGTCAAAAGTCAATGGCCCAGCCAGTAATAACCCCACTGTTTCAACAGAGGACAGCCGCTCAGTGCCTATAGCCCTTGACATTCTGCAGATGTAACTTCCCCAGTCTATGTTAAGTGTGTATACTGTAATTCACAAAGATGACTTCCATTAAAAATAACATTCATAAGATGAAACCAAATCATACTTGCATATATACATGCTCCCCAGTCGGAGCGTTGTATTAGGAAGCATCCCCTAAGCACAGAAGAGAATCGCGCTTGGGAATGAAGCAGAAAACTCACCACAGCTTTCAGCTATTATCCCTAATGCATCATCAAAGTCCTCATGCCCAGCATCAAAGAACCCATCTCAGACCATGATTAGCCCAATGAAGGTGCTTTTATGCTGTTGGATAAAAAGCCTCCATCATGTAAAGTGCAAGGTTAGGAATGCTCTAAAGACAAAAAAGGGTTGTTTATATCTAACTATATTGATTGGCATAAAGAAGCCTTCCTTTGGATCAGTAAAGCCAAACAAGACACTAATCATATAAAACTCCAGTCAAACCATTCCAAACTGTCAGAGAATTTGTGTCTGAACTCAGTGTTATGGGGCCAAATCTAAGAAAAAGACACATCTATCATAACAGTGGAAGGACATGTCATCTGGAATCAGTTATACATAACATCCCTCTTCACTGGTAAAATCTGCCCCTCCTTAGAGGCCCAGCACAAGGCCTATGTGCAACTTAAGTCTCTTTAGTCCTGAACTAAATTGTTCCTTTACAAAGGGGAATTTTCCCCATATGGAAAAGAACACACTTAACCAGGAAGCCTGATTACTGACTCTTATTATACAGTAAATAAAACCAACACACCTTCTACTTTTACCAACAGACAGAACAACAGAGGTGGCAGCGGCTGGCAAAGAAAGGGTACAGAGGCAATGAAGCAGTCCATACAGTTTACAAAGTTTGAGGATGGACCATGTTATCTTCATGATGCTAGCTGAATTACTGCTGTACCTATAAAAGTAGTTGTAATTGTTTCAGAGATTGAACTTTCCCGCTGTGTTACAGCTTCTTTTATAGCTCAGGAGTTTGGCTGTTTGTAAATTCCTTTATCAAGAGAAATAGCCAAAAGGGAACTTCCAGCCAAGTGGCATAAGCTTTCCAGCTGTAGGGAAACTGCTAGTAACTCTGTGGTATTATCTAAAATGGTGTCTATGAAGACTGTATTTGAAAGGATATGAATAGGCTTTACAAAGTGCTCGTCACTCTTAAATTCCAATGTACATTTCTTAAAGTAGTGGTTTTATGTTTCTGTTTTCACATGTTATGAAGCCAATGAAATTCCGGTTCCTACAAAGTTCACACAAGCAATAAAATTACCATATCTGCAATGATGTTGAGCCTTTAGCCCCAAAACACTTTTCTTAATGCAGTAAACATATACTTGTGAAATACACAGAGATCGCTTTTTCTGCTGATGCAATGCAGCCCTTTTTGGGATATAACTCTGGTGCTATTTAAGAATGCATAGAAAGATCCAGCTGAATCTGCAGAGGAAATCTAGGAAGGCACAAGGTAATTACCCATACTTAAGTCAGATTAAGGACCTTGTGATAAATAACCACAGCATCTTGAAAAGATCTTGAGAAACGGATGGCAATATTGGGTGAAATTCTGTGATGTCCACAAAACAAAACAAGTTAATTACAGAGTCAATGCAGTCTTGACACCTGCTTTCCTGCTGCACGTCTCAACATTATCCTCAATGGATTGTCTACAGGAATGTGGCCAGACAAGTCCATAAACACTCTGCTAAGACTATTGTGGTAGTTTCTATCATGTGAAAACCCATTTTTGCAGAATGCTTCTCAGTTGAACACTAAATTTGGACATAAACTATGTTCATTTCTTGATTGAGATATGTTGAGACACCTTGCAACTATTAGCTGATTCCAAAGAACGTTAATTTTGTAATAAATAAAACATGGTTTCGTGTTTTAGGGGGAAGGCTGCACTCAATCACCATTTAAGTAGTTTGCCATTTGTATTTTCAGTCTTTCATTTATGTATTCTGCACCAGCTGTAACATAGGTACCTGGATGTTTATCTATCTGCAAGCCATTCCAACCAGTTTCCCACCCTCTTACAATTATGGGTTGCTTGGAAAGAAAAGATCTCTCCATATTCATGTTAGTTACCAACTTCGGATATATTACTGAATACATTTCACTTGTGGAAACAACACGAAATCTGAGATCTAGTAGAGATGCTAACTAGAGAAATACAACTTGAAAAAGGAAACACATAAAACTGTGGAAAGCAAAATTACAAAACAATCTGAGCAGAAGTCACAATAATCCCTGACCCGCCATAGGGAATCTAATGGAAGACAAAACTTTGACACAACAAAACTTCTGAAGGTCACTTCTGTACAGTCAGTGCAGAAATATGATCTTTCATTTGCCGTTGAAAAAAACACAGGCTGCTGTCACACGTAGCTTTGCTTTCTTTAGAAAAAAAAGCACAGAAGTGCCCCAGTAGAAGTGATTTTTATACATGATCTACTTCACCTTGTTTTAAAACACAAATGCGTTGCCTACAATGCATGCACTGAAATATGAGGAAATAGCTATGTAACCAGTGAGGAAAGGGAACACTTCCCACTCTGGCAGAAAACATACATTTGATATGGCTTCTGTATGCACTTGAGTGACTTAACAAGACATTACCTGGCTTTAATAGGCTAATTACATCACTTCCCAGCACCTGCTACAAAACTGAGATGTGCACCTTGCAATTTAATACAGCATATGGAAATTGTGAAAAACACCAAGCAGGCACAGCGAAACTAACCCTTTCACTGCTTAGTGCCTTCCGCCAGGCTCATGGCTCCAAAGAGAACAGTTTACACATGTAAGATTTAGCCCTTTTAAACATGCAATCTCTCCATATAAAAATAGAATTCACAGAGTCATTTGAGTCTGGAAAAAGAAAATGTGCATCATCGTAATATAATTGTTTGCCCTTATATGGCATCTTTTCATCTAAGCAATTCAGAATGATTCACAAACCCCAATTCACTTAGTCCTGAAATACCCATGAGGATCAGGCCAGAGACATACAAATGTTACTTCATCAGCTACTGGAATTCTACTTCTGAGCAATGGCAGCAAGTGGGTATTTTCTTTTAAACAGAGCACAGTGATGCTATATCATAGATTAAATCAAATACTCATATTGTCAAAATAGACATTAATTGCAAATGAAAGACGTTGACCCCATTTCTCTAATTCTTTTGATAAGACAAAATCCTCTAAAAAGTGAAAAAGGGTTCATTTTTAATGCTTTGAGACAAAACACTTTCCAAATTGTAACTTTTTCATGAAACTGGGTTGCCATTTGTCAACCTATTCCGTTGCAACCAGTTCTGTTCTTACTCCCTGTGACATGACATGCAACCTAGGGTGTGACACCAGTGTTGTTACAG